GGGTCAGGGGCCCGGGGGGCGAGGGCTCCAGGCCAGCGAAGCGCTGGTCAGGGCTCGGCGCTGGGACCTGGCCAGACGGAGGGAGCCACACGCCGCGCGTGCCACCATCTTCGCGAGGCGCCCCGCCCTGCCAAGCGGGTCGCTGGGAAGGTGAGTTCCCGGCGGCCCGGCCCGGATCCGCGTGCCCTCGGCGAGACTATTACTCCCAGGGGGCTGCGCGCACCGCTGCGGGCCCGGCGGCTGGGCGCAGAGCACCACGGAAATCGTAGTCCACTGTTGGGACTCACAAAGCGACGCCGCTCCGGCTTGAACTATGCACCCACAATGCTCTGCGTGAACCCCGCCGCCCGCGCCGGGCTCCTGTGCCCGCGGGTGAACCCGGAGGTTCCCCGCCCCGGGCGGAGGACTATGCCGCAAGACCGCGGTCCACGGTCCTTTTGTTAGTTCATTCGCGCAGTGGAAGAGTCTGGCGTTTAACAGAATAGGGGGGACAGCCAACCATCAGGCAATGAAGGAAAAGTGACTTTATGATGAAAGCAGAGTACAGACAACAGCTTAAACCAGGTCTTTTCGGAGGCTCTCTGCCCCAGGACGGGTCTCCTGTGACCTGTCTGTGAGGTGGGGGCACAGAGCCCTGCACTGGCGTCTTTGAAGAGTCAGATGATCTCAGAGCGCCTTTTACAAGCTTTTTCCCCGCCCCCGCCCTGGCCCTTTGCCCCCTTCAGGGGTCCCAAAAGAACTTGTGAAGGTTGACTGTGAGCTGATCAGAGCAGGTGGGAGTTCCTAGCGGACCGGGACAGGGGTAAGAGAGGCGAGGAAGAGCTGGGGGCAGACTTCTGGCCTTAGGCTGCTTCCTTAGGTCTGCCCCGAGGTCTGGGCTCCTGGCAGGTGGGGCCAGCCCAGCCCTGGTAACAGCGGCAGCTAAAGGACTCCCAAGTTCCAAGGCTGCCATCTGGCTGCACGTGCAGAAAGGCTTCCCTTTGTCCTGGGTTTTGCCGGGCACAACGCCCATGACCATGGCACTGCTGGCGACTGCAGGCCATGGTTGCCCTGGTCACATTGATCACATATGGGCCCAGAGTGCCCAGCAGGTAGTCATGGAGACGCCAGCACTCCTCCTGAGAAGGAAGGAAAAGGTGTGTCAAATGCTCTGCTCCGTGGCCTCCATGTGCCCTGGATGTGCCCTCTCCCCCAGCCCCCACCCCCGGGCCCCAGCAGTGTGATGTATGGCAGGCTGACGGTGGAATGATCACCTCAGAGCTGGAGAAACTCAGGTCCCCCCAGAGCACCACGCCGGCGGCCCCCAGTGCCGCACTCACACCAATCGTCTGCACCAGGTCATCCTGAAGGTGAAGAGCTAAGTCAGACCCAGGCTTGCCAGGTCCTTCTGGGTGAACCTCCATTGTCCAGACTCTCCAGGTCACCGGCACGTCTGATTCTGTGGAAGTGGGCCCTTTGCACGGAGCCTCCTTGCACTGAGGCTTCTCCGGCCTTTCAGTCTGACTCCCCTCAGACCAGGGTTGCCTTCAGACCCCTGCCCCTTGAGATCTTCCAGTGCAGAGCCGTACCTCTCTGTCAGATGCTCCATGACAGGGGCTTCCCCTCAGCGCCCTTAGGTCAGGACCTTCCCCGCAAATTCCCTTGGGCAAGGATTTCTCCTTAGACATTCCTAGGACAGGGCCAAGTCCGATTCAGATCCCTAGACCTCAGTGTCTACTTACCTGGGACAGGAAATTCCCAGAGTGCCGGTGTGTGAGGCGGACGTAGGCCAGGACAGGCAGAGGATGTGGGTCCCCAGCAAGGGCCACACGGAAGGCCTCCTGCAGGCGGTGTTGCACAAAGGCCTGGTGGTAGGCAGGTGGCAGCTTGGGTGGGAGGTAGATGCTTGGAAAGAGAGCGCTGGAGGCGGCCCAGAGCCAGTGCAGTTGGGCGTTGCGGGCCAGGGTGGCTGCGTGGCAGCGGCCCGTGTAGTTGGAAGCCGTATGGTGCCAACCATTGCCACAGGCGGGGTAGCGATAGAAACCCCAGAGCCCATGGGGCCGCAGCGCCTGGCCCAGCCGTAGCGTGCTCTCCATCAGAGCACGGGCTGCCTGCTCAAAGTCTGTGTGGGCTTTGTGGAGCTGCTCCTGCGGGTCTAGGTCAGGGAACATGTGCTGGGCCCAAGCCCAGGAGGCTGCCTTGTAAGCTTTACGGCGGCCCCAGTTTCCAGCCCAGAGTGGACACCACTCCTCCCAGTCCAGCACTGCCAGGCCAGCAAACCTGGGTCCTAAGCTCTGGTGGATCTGGCGGGCGGCCTGTGCCAGGTGACGATCTAGGGGCACAGCCTGGGGGATGCCCCCATTGTGAACTGTGCCCCTGGGCCCAAGGTAGGGATAGAGGCCAAACTGGTTCTTGTAAAAGATGGTAACATTTTGGCCATGGAAATGCTGGCCATGGTTGGCTATAATGCCCAGGGCACTGAGTGGTAGGTGCACTCCAAAGCGAGCCTTACAGCGTGCTGAGGGGACATTCCACAGCACAGAGAAGGGTCGTTCAGGATCCTGCAGCAAGGACTGGCCACACCCCAGGCACAGGGCCACCCCCAGCACCAGGGCTGGGCCTAGCTGCATGATCATGCCACTGAGATGGAAACCTGTAGGAGAGAGGGAATAAACTTGAGTCCACGGCCATCCCTTCTACAGAGCGAGGAAGGCTCCCCAGCTCCTCCCCACCAGGATAGGGGTGGAGAAAACAGAGTTCCCGAGGAGTCCCGTAGGTCTCCAGGGTTCTCCATCTCTGCCAAGGCACCAGTGTCCTCCAAAACATCTCCATCCACAATTGTCACAAGTCCCCTTCTTTCCTCTGCCACCTTGTTGCCTGCTCCAAGAACACTAAGCTCTCACCTCCTCGTTTGCCTGGCTTAATTCCTACTCGGCACTCGGGTCTCGGCTGTGACATCACCTCCTATAGGAGGTTGCCCAGATCCCCAGGGGCAGTGAGGGCAGTGGGCTCCTGAGGCCTCTATACGTTCTTGTTCCAACACAGACCCTACCCCTGAATGGCTGTCTGTCCTCTTGGATGGGTCCCCAGTCTGTCTGTAATTTCCCACTGCCTATGCCAGTCCAGGGTCTGACATACAGAAGGTGCTCAGTGAAGGGAACCAGTGAACAGCAAAGGGAACCACTCTTCCCTGAGTTTAGCAGGGTGAGAGAGGCAGAAGACAGGTGTCACCCGTCAAAGATCAAAGGCCCAAGGCCAAATCGGACCGGGGGCTTCTGCAGGGATGGGAACCTGAGAAGTGAGGGTGGGGTGGGGGTCAACAAATAAATTATCACAGCCACACCCAACAGAAGTCTTTATTCAGCCATGCTGATGGCTCTGAGCCAGAACTACAGAACCATCTCCTGGTCCCGGTGGTAACCAGGGAACACGCCCAGGCTAAAGCTGCCCCAGGGGCTAGGGGCTGAGCTAGCCAGTGGGCTGGGGGTGGTACTGTCCTGAGCAGTCCAGTGAGCCAGGACAGTGCCTCATCTCAGGTAGCCTTCAGATGTCTTTTTCCATCCAGAATATGGGGCATCCCCTCAGGTCCTGGTATTGTGTCTCCAGCAGACTTTGTGGAAGGGGCCCTGCTGGAGGTGGAGGTAAAGTGGTCAAAGGCTGGGGCAGGGGTGGGGGTGGCGGCAATGGGGGCCCCTTGGGGCCCCTTGGGGCAGCTTGGGTAGTCAGGCTAGGAACCATGCAGGGTGGGCGGGAGGTGGGAGCCCTAGGAAAGGCACGGAGCAGGCTGGTGGGCAGTCGCTGCCTGCTGAAGACCAGGCCCTGCACAGGCTCTCCCAGGTGGTAGCCTAGGTGGGCATAGAAGTGTAGCTGATCATGAGTGGTGAGGTGTAGCTGGCGAAAGCCCCGGGCCCGAGCAAAGTCCTCCAGGCCCTCCATGAGGCGGCGGCCGAAGCCACGGCCCCTCAGAGCCCGGGCCACCACCACCGTCTCTACTAAGAGGCTCTGGGGCCGGTCCAGCACCCGTGACAGGCGAGCATGGCCCACCACGATGGGCGCTGCTTCAGATGTGGGGCGGGGGCTCAGAAGCAACAGGCACAGGGGGAAGGCATCCGAGGACTGGCCCAGGGAGTGCAAGCGGGAGGCACGGCTGCGGGGCCACTGGTCATTGATGAGGTCGGCGCAAGCATCCATGAGCTCAGGTCGGCAGTGCACAGGCTCCAAGGTCAACTCAGCCAGGCTGGGGGCTGGGGTCTCCTCTGGCCGGTGTCTGGGATCCAGGGCAAGCTCAGCTGGGCCAGGACGGAAGGTCATCTCTGGATGGCATGTGGAATCCAGGGTCAGTTCAGCTGGCCCGGGGCTCAGGATCAGCTCTGGTTCGTGTGTGGGATCCAGGGTTAGCGTGGTCAAGTTGAATCCCAGGGCCACCTCTGGCTGGTATGCAAGATCCAGAGTCAGCTTAGGCAGGCTGGTACTCAGGATCAGCTCCATCCAGTGTTCGGGGTCTAGGGCAGGGGTCAGCTTGATTGGGCCAGAGCTCAGAGTAACCTGCTGCCTACACATAGGATCCAGGCTCAGCTGAGTCAGGCTGGGAGCCAGGGTCACTCCTATTGGGTTGCAGATGGCTCAGTGTAAGGCTAGAAGCTAAGGCCAAAGTTTTCTGGCAGTGGCATCTTCTCAGACTACACCGGCTGTCCTCCAGGGGAAACAAAGATACCTGGTCGTGCCATGAGGATGGGACTGGGACAGGGAAGGACTGACAGTTGCACAGGGGGCCATGCATCCTGGAACTGGGCCATGTTGGGGTACACACTAACCTTACGGTACAGGTGGCCTGGAAAAGACTCATCCCCTACACCTGAGGACTCAGGTGGAAAGCAGGGTGGATGGAATCAGGTATCCTGCCCCACACCGGAGGGAGGCTGAGGGTGAGGACTGGGGCAGAACTCAGGATCCTAACCCCTGTCCGATCCCTAGAACCTGCCTGTGCCAGGACACCCTACCCAACTCACTTGTTTATTGTCTTATTTCTAGCAGTCCTTTGACAGAAGGTGCAAACCATGCACTATACTTATACCCCCCAAGGTTCTCCTCAGAGGAAACACTGCCCTCAGGAGTTCTTCTGACCCTTCCTCCTACGTGCCAGCTCTCCTCCAGCTCCCGGCCTTTCCAGCAACGTGGGGCCTACCAACTACCTAGTTGATCCTGGGGCCCCAGCCACCCACCCACCAGCCTCAGAGTCCCCCCCTCCAATCCATCCTCTGCTTGGGGTACAGAGCCCATGGACCCCTCTCCAACTCTGCCCAGCTGAGGACACTTTGGACACAGACCCAACTGTCCCCGCAGATGGGACCCTCGTACAGGGCCTGGCCCGCGGCTGCAGAGAATGTCACTTCTGCAGGCCTAGTTCCTTTTGGGCTAAGTTTCGTAGTCACCCTTGATGAGGGCCACAGCTTCCTTCCTATAGCCACAGAGTATCTTCCAACGGCCATCAGCTTGGAGGCCCAGAACCTCTGTGCCCAAACGCCATCGCCCGTCCACCCTATTCCAGGTGCTGCTGGCGGGAGGCTCCACAACGGGCCGCCTCCATGGCCTGCACTGGGTCCGCAGCTGGACCTCGCCCTCCCTCTACTCACCCGCTCAGAGTGCCTCCTGGCCTTCCTTCCCCACCTCCTTATCCTGAGGACAATTCAGCCACACCGGCCAGGGACGGGCACCTCCCTCCCCTCCTGCCACATCCCCCTCGCAGGGCTCCAAGCCCCTCACCTGCCGCAGCTGCAGCAGCACCCCGGGTCTGGAGGGAGGAAGCACCAGGATCCGCCCCCAAGTCTGGAACCCCAGGCTCCCCGGCGGAGCTTAACCCCTTCACTGCTGACACTCGTCACGGTGGGAGGCGCGAGGCTCGAGGTCCTCAGGAAGAGACCTCCCTGTCCTCCGATGCCTCGGCTCCCCCATGCCCCTACTGCGGCCGTGGAGGCTGCGGGGCTGGGGCCGTCAGAAGGCTGACTGTGGGCAGGGGTGCTCCGCACGCCCGGGTGGGGAGGCGGACGACCGACCGCGAAGGCGCGGGCGCGGGCGCGGGCGGGGCGGGAGCGGTACTGAC